GAGAAAGCATGTGTTTTAGAGTGGTGTGCTGAGAGTTCTCTGTGTGTTACTTGTGAGAAAGCATGTGTTTTAGAGTTGTGTGCTGAGAGTTCTCTGTGTGTTACTTATGAGAAAGCATGTGTTTTAGAGTGGTGTGCTGAGAGTTCTCTGTGTGTGTTACTTATGAGAGAGCATGTGTTTTAGAGTTGTGTGCTGAGAGTTCTCTGTGTGTTACTTATGAGAAAGCATGTGTTTTAGAGTTGTGTGCTGAGAGTTCTCTGTGTGTTACTTGTGAGAAAGCATGTGTTTTAGAGTGGTGTGCTGAGAGTTCTCTGTGTGTTACTTATGAGAAAGCATGTGTTTCAGAGTTGTGTGCTGAGAGTTCTCTGTGTGTTACTTGTGAGAAAGCATGTGTTTTAGAGTTGTGTGCTGAGAGTTCTCAGTGTGTTACTTGTGAGAAAGCATGTGTTTTAGAGTTGTGTGCTGAGAGTTCTCTGTGTGTTACTTGTGAGAAAGCATGTGTTTTAGAGTGGTGTGCTGAGAGTTCTCTGTGTGTTACTTATGAGAAAGCATGTGTTTTAGAGTTGTGTGCTGAGAGTTCTCAGTGTGTTACTTGTGAGAAAGCATGTGTTTTAGAGTTGTGTGCTGAGAGTTCTCTGTGTGTTACTTGTGAGAAAGCATGTGTTTTAGAGTGGTGTGCTGAGAGTTCTCTGTGTGTTACTTATGAGAAAGCATGTGTTTCAGAGTTGTGTGCTGAGAGTTCTCTGTGTGTTACTTGTGAGAAAGCATGTGTTTTAGAGTTGTGTGCTGAGAGTTCTCTGTGTGTTACTTATGAGAAAGCATGTGTTTTAGAGTGGTGTGCTGAGAGTTCTCTGTGTGTTACTTATGAGAAAGCATGTGTTTTAGAGTTGTGTGCTGAGAGTTCTCTGTGTGTTACTTATGATAAAGCATGTGTTTTAGAGTTGTGTGCTGAGAGTTCTCTGTGTGTTACTTGTGAGAAAGCATGTGTTTTAGAGTGGTGTGCTGAGAGTTCTCTGTGTGTTACTTGTGAGAAAGCATGTGTTTTAGAGTGGTGTGCTGAGAGTTCTCTGTGTGTTACTTATGAGAAAGCATGTGTTTCAGAGTTGTGTGCTGAGAGTTCTCTGTGTGTTACTTGTGAGAAAGCATGTGTTTTAGAGTTGTGTGCTGAGAGTTCTCTGTGTGTTACTTATGAGAAAGCATGTGTTTTAGAGTGGTGTGCTGAGAGTTCTCTGTGTGTTACTTATGAGAAAGCATGTGTTTTAGAGTTGTGTGCTGAGAGTTCTCTGTGTGTTACTTATGATAAAGCATGTGTTTTAGAGTTGTGTGCTGAGAGTTCTCTGTGTGTTACTTGTGAGAGAAAGCATGTGTTTTAGAGTGGTGTGCTGAGAGTTCTCTGTGTGTTACTTATGAGAAAGCATGTGTTTCAGAGTTGTGTGCTGAGAGTTCTCTGTGTGTTACTTGTGAGAAAGCATGTGTTTTAGAGTTGTGTGCTGAGAGTTCTCTGTGTGTTACTTATGAGAAAGCATGTGTTTTAGAGTGGTGTGCTGAGAGTTCTCTGTGTGTTACTTGTGAGAAAGCATGTGTTTTAGAGTTGTGTGCTGAGAGTTCTCTGTGTGTTACTTATGAGAAAGCATGTGTTTTAGAGTGGTGTGCTGAGAGTTCTCTGTGTGTTACTTATGAGAAAGCATGTGTTTTAGAGTGGTGTGCTGAGAGTTCTCTGTGTGTTACTTATGAGAAAGCATGTGTTTCAGAGTTGTGTGCTGAGAGTTCTCTGTGTGTTACTTATGAGAAAGCATGTGTTTTAGAGTGGTGTGCTGAGAGTTCTCTGTGTGTTACTTATGAGAAAGCATGTGTTTCAGAGTTGTGTGCTGAGAGTTCTCTGTGTGTTACTTATGAGAAAGCATGTGTTTTAGAGTGGTGTGCTGAGAGTTCTCTGTGTGTTACTTATGAGAAAGGATGTGTTTTAGAGTTGTGTGCTGAGAGTTCTCTGTGTGTTACTTATGAGAAAGGATGTGTTTTAGAGTTGTGTGCTGAGAGTTCTCTGTGTGTTACTTATGAGAAAGCATGTGTTTTAGAGTGGTGTGCTGAGAGTTCTCTGTGTGTTACTTATGAGAAAGGATGTGTTTTAGAGTGGTGTGCTGAGAGTTCTCTGTGTGTTACTTATGAGAAAGCATGTGTTTTAGAGTTGTGTGCTGAGAGTTCTCTGTGTGTTACTTGTGTTAGAGCATGTGTTTTAGAGTTGTGTGCTGAGAGTTCTCTGTGTGTTACTTGTGTTAGAGCATGTGTTTTAGATGTCCTCAGTCCCTCTGTATCACATTTCATTTCCTGTTTTAGACGTCCTCAGTCCCTCTGTGTCACATTTTATTGCCTGTTTAATAATGATCTATTCGTCTCTTTTCACAATGTGTCGAATATAGTGCCATCCTCTCTGTCTTATACCTGTTGATAGTAGTGGTTGCTCCGAAATTTCTCTTATTTCCTCACTCGTCTTGAATTCAATCCATTTTACGTTCACAATTTTCCTCAGGTACTTGTTTTCAAATGCATTTAACTTTTGTTTCATACCTTTGTTGATTCTTCAGCTTTCACTTGCATATGTTGAAAGTGAATTATTACAATAAGCCAGTTTGAATTTATTATGAACAGTAAATCATCATCATCATCAGGTGCCTTGCATACTGTCGTGGGCGAACATGCGATCTCCTGCAATTTGTATCAGTTCGTGTGCTGACACACCTCCATGCCATGCAACAAGAGTGTCAAGAATCTTCTTTCGTTGTCTTCCTCTATTCCTCTTTCCACAGATCTTTCCAGTGGTCACAACATGTTCTATTTTTCCTCTTCTCATAATACGGCCGAAAAATACATGTAAATACATGCCGAACAGTAAATAGATGCTTAAATTAATAATTATTTGTTTAGTTCTCTCTCTCTCTCTCTCTCTCTCTCTCTCTCTCTCTCTCTCTCTCTCTCTCTCTCGTAATCTATCTCTGTGTGCATGCACTATTATGTAATGCATATTTCTTAATTATATCCATAACATGCATTATTGATAACTGTCATTGGTACTCTAAAATAATGAGTGCTTAGAAGGGCCGAATGTCAGACGGGCCTGCGTGCCCAATTTGTAACCCTTCGAAAAAAAAGTTTGTTCGTTCGTTCGTTCTCTTTCTCTCTCTCTTTCACTCTCTCTCTCTCTCTCTCTCTCTCTCTCTCTCTCTCTCTCTCTCTCTCTCTCATTCTCTCTCTCTGACTCTTTCTTTTTATTAAATTTTGAAACATAATTTTCTTTAACAGTCGGCGATCTTCAACAGTATGTGTCAGTTTGTGTTGTCACCCTTGTACGCCATGAAAGCAAAGTTGTAAATAATCGTCTTGTATTATCGTCCTCTGCACTGTCCTACACAGGTATTTTAAGAGGCGATAACATGTTTCAGTTTCCCTCTCCTAATAAGATTACCGCCCCCCTCCCACCCCCACCGGCCGAACAAAAATCTTTTGATAAGTTTTCTTTAGGCCTTCGCCTCTTTCGAGATATTTGGGGTTCTCTTTTGTGTTGTCCGAGAAATTTCAAGACTGTTCTGTATAACCACATTTCTAAGGACTTGAGAAATTGTATGGTGTGTTTATCAACTGCCCAGGGTTCAAAGCCCAATGGGTCTACATAGTATGCAGTAATTGTTATTTTTTTCCCCTTATAAAAAACAGTTTTAGCCTGTCCTAGTCAATGAAAAACTACTGTATGTGAAATTGCCTTGTAAGACCAACCAACATTCAACAAATGTCTGACTGATTTATAATGTTCGGTACAGGATATGAGCTGACTATTTGTTATATTGTCAAGAATTTAATAAACAGGTTCTGAAAAGAAAAACATTTCTTCTCTTTGGACCCCATCAAGTCAAGGATTCAGTGCAGGCTTGGTTCACGTCAAAATAAAACAGTATACCTTGGTACAAAGAGCACCTGTGGGAGAAGTCGTCCATAAGGGTCCGTATAACCAGTACAGAGCCTGTACGGGTAAAGGACGGAGTATCCCCGTATAAAAAGCACAACTTTCTATCATGCTTGGGACCTAAATCACGGCACCATGCTTGGTGGGAGATAGAAGCCAGAAGTATGAGAAAATAAACTAATGGCACTTATCATTTGATAAAAGAAATGCATTCACTCGTTCTTTTATAGAATATTATTTCATATCAAAACTGTTCTAAATTGTTGTTGTCAGAGTAATCTTCTTCACGGCACCAGGCTTTATTCCATATGGCGGGTGTTCTTTATACTGAACCGGTAGATGTCTTCAATGAGTGTCACACAAATCACAAATTCTGCAACTCCAGCAACCATCACCGTGTATCTTAGATAAAGGTTGACGCAGTCTGGGGAACAACCCAGTTGCCTTCAGAGCAGAAGACAAAAGGCTGAACAACAACGTCACGGTGACACTTGTTTTTTTTCCGATACTGTACGGCATGAACCACATAGGACTAGCAGTCAACAACCCTATTCTTTTTTGTTTTCTATTGTGCAGTTAAACCTCTATATCTTTTTGTTAGAAATTGTGCAGTCAACATATCCCTTCCTTTTTGTTGGATATTGTGCAGTAAACACCTTCATTCCATTTTGTTGGATATTGTGCAGTCAGCACCTACATTCTTTTTTGTTAGATACTGTGCAGCCAACACCTCCATTCCCTTTTGTTAGATATTGTACAGTCACCTCTATTCCTATTTGCTGGATATTGTTCAGTCAACATAACCATTCTTTTTTGTTGGTCATTGAGCTGGTCAAAGAAGTAAAGAAGAGGGTGAGGAATAGATGCACAAGGACATATCTGAAATGGAAATCATTTTCTAAAAAAAACATTTTATCACACATTCGATTGAAAGACAAAAGAAACAAAAACCTCTTCAGCATGTTTATTGATTACACAGCCACCTCAGAGTGGCTTTTGATAGCTGATGTTACTGGGAGACAGCTCTGTATAAGGAATGGCTTACACCAGGTTCCCTCTTTGGCATGCAGATTTACAAGCAGCGATATTGGGAAATCTGTTGGCGTTGCCACCACATAATCCATAAACGAACTGTTCACATGCTCTAGATGTTGAGTTGTAAAAGTACTGAAGGGAGTAACCCCTACAATTTCCCGTTTCAGCTGGCAGGCTACACACTGAAGCTGAAACATAACAATGCTGATATAAGTGTATGTAACCAAGTGATTACGAACACACGACAACAATGATGGAGCTTCCCTTTTAGGTATCTTGGTGGCGTGCAATGTTAAACAATTTTATATAGCGCACATAGCCTCGTCAACAATAAAACCTAAAGGTCCCCCTTCGGGGATGCTGGTTGAACGTGTCGTTTTTTCCCCCACAGCAAAGCATCTACCTCGCATGCGTAAGAAAAAGTGAACTTGTCGATTCTTCCCCCCAGCAAAGCATCTACCTCGCAAGCGTAAGAAAAAAATCTAAAAGCGGGAACAGAGAACATATATCGATGCTATTTGCAGTTCCTAAGGTTTGCGGAAGAATCTAATTATATAGATCAACGGCTTGCAAAGCGAAATAGCAAAGTGTGTGGCACACACGAGGCGTGTTGGGACACGAAGTAAAACATGGCTGGCCATCGTGGAAAAGATTGGGACCTTACCACGTAGCACCCAAAGACAGTAATGGAAGCACAAGTTAGAAAAAGCGATGCAGGCACATCTTGGCTCCCTGGAGTAATGCTTGTTGTAAATACAAACAGGGAAGAGACAAATCCTCTGTTGACTAGGGTAGAGCATAATGACGAGTGCGCCGTAAATTCTTCTGAAAGGGCACATTCTGACAACGCATATCTGAAAAGTAGAAAGAGATGTCTTCGCATTGGCACATGGAATGTTAGAAGGTTATATCAAGTTGGAAAATTTGACTGTTTAATTTCTGAGGCAAAGAATATGAATTTAGATATTTTGGGAGTATCAGAAACAAGATGGACAGAAGCTAGCTGCCTAAAGAGAGAGGATTACATATTTATTAATTCTGGAGGAGATCATCATGAACGTGGAGTAGGATACTTTGATAAAAAGAAATTTAGAGAAGTTTATTAGCGAGTTCTGGGCTCACAATGACAGAATTATATTGATCAAGATCAAGGCAGGACCTTTTGATATTGCAATAATACAGATATATGCACCAACAACTGACTACAGTGATGAACAGCTTGAAGAATATTATGAAGAACTACAACAAACACTGAAAGTTGTAAAATCATCAGAGGTTTTAATAGTTATGGGAGACCTAAATGCAAAAGTGGGGAAAAAGAAGCACAAACATATTGTAGGGCAATTTGGAATGGGATCAAGGAATGACAGAGGAGACAGATTGATACAGTTGTGCGAAGAGAACCAACTCATTATCTGTAATACATTTTTTCAACATCCACCTAGAAAACTGTTTACGTGGAAGAGTCCAAGAGATATAAATAGAAACCAAATTGACTATGTAATGATTAGAGACAGATTCAAAAACAACATAAAGAACGCCAAAACATACCCAGGTGCAGATATAAATTCATATCACAACTCTGTGGTAATAAAAATACAAATTAAACTTTAAAATGCAGGATTAAAAACGCAAAGGTCACCCCACATAGACACATCAGCTTTGAAACAGCCAGAAATTAGCCAGCAGTACCTAGTGGAGGTTACAAATAAATATGACAGATTAATAGTTGAAACCATGGAACAATATCGACGGGAGAATCCAGAGGACAAAATTAATACAAAATGGAAATGTTTCAAAACTAGTATAGAAACAGCTAATGCCATCTTACCAGTGAAAGAAAACAAGAAAAATCAAGTATGGATGACTGAGGAAATTATTAAGAAAATGACACAAAGGAAGAAAGCAAAAAACACTCCAGAATATTCATTAATAGACAAAGAAATACGAAATATGTGTAGAACTGCTAAGGAAACATGGATTCAGTTAAAATGCAAAGAAATAGAGGATCTTGAAATAAAACAGAACCAAGGAAATACATGCAAATATAAGAAAACTTTACAAACAAGGAAAAACATTTAACAGGAAAACGTTGATGGAAAAATTATTGTTGATAAGAAAGATATAATAAAAAGATGGACTGAATACACAGAAGACCTGTTTTGTGACAACAGAGGTGACAAACCGCCAATCCATAATATTCAAGAGGGACCAAACATATTAAAGTCTGAAGTAGAGAAAGCCATTAAACAGATGAAGCAGGGGAAAGCTGCAGGTCCAGACAACATAACTGCAGAAATGTTGAAATCATTATCTACTTTTGAAATTGATGCTATCACAGAAATATGCAATGACATTTATAACTATGGGTACATTCCCAGGGACATGAAAACATCTGTTTTTATCACACTAACCAAGTAATCAAAAGGTGTTGATTGTGAAGATTACAGAACTGTTAGCCTAATGAGTCACGTAACTAAGTTACTCTTGAAGATGATACAAGCAAGAATTCAAGATATAATAGAGAAAGAAGTTTCTGAAGAGCAATTTGGATTACGTAAAAACAGTGGCACTCGAGAAGCCATAATTTGTCTAAAGATGCTGACTGAAAAATATATAGAAATTCAGAAAAATATTTATGCATGTTTTATAGATTACAAAAAAGCTTTCAACAGAGTGCACCATGAACAACTAATTGCAGCTCTTCAAAACATAGGACTAGATGGAAAGGATATCAGACTCATTAGAAACTTATACTGGGAGCAAGAAGCAACAGTAAGATATGACAACATCTGCTTACCCCAGATAGAGATCAAGAGAGGAGTAAGACAAGGATGTGTGCTGTCACCTAGCCTTTTTAACTTATGTACAGAAACCATTTTAAAAGAAATTGTAGAATTACCAGGACTGCACATCAATGGTAGAATAATGAACAATCTGAGATATGCTGACGACACAGTGTTGCTAGCAGAGAGTGAGCAGGAGTTGCAATACCTAGTGGGGCAAGTAAACAGAAGGAGTGCAGAATTTGATTAGATATAAATTTGAAAAAGACAAAAACATGATATTTAGCAAAGAAAAAAATCAACTAACAGTGAATATCACAGTGGACGGGGTGAAATTGGAACAAATTAAAAATTTCTTATATCTTGGACAAGTAATAACATGTGACGGCAGAAGTGAAACAGAAGTCAAGAAAAGAATAGGGATGGCCAAAAACATTTTCAACAACATGCAAAAGTTACTGACATCAAGAGAAATAAGCAATACATTAAAAATGAGAATTGTCAAATGTTTTGTATTCTCAACCTTACTGTATGGCACAGAGACATGGACAATGAACAAACAACTGGAAAATTGTAATAATTCTTTGGAGATGTGGATATACAGAAGATCAGGTTGTATTTCATGGAAACAAAAACTATCAAATACAGAGGTACTGAGGAAATTTGGAATGAAACAGAGTTGCTAGTTGAAATAAAAAAAGAGACAAGTGAAATATTTTGGCCACATTAAAAGACATAACAGTATTGTAAACATCATCCTAGAGGGAATGGTTCAAGGTAGGCGAGCAAAAGGCAGACAGCGTTACAAGTCGGAGGATAACATGAAGAGATGGACGAACAGCAGTATGAGTGAGTGTACATCACAGGCAAGAGACAGGGCTTGTTGGAGATCCATTGCAGCCAACCTTTATTGTGGAGACGGCACCTGATTGATTGAAGGTTTGGAGAGTTTCCAGCAGTCCCGTAAGTGACTGCTATTTATGCGTATGAGAGACAGATTGGATGGCTAGCTATCTATGAAAGGCGTGCAACTTCAGTTAGAACATCCCAGATTAATTTCCCACCTCCTAGCTTTTACCACAATCTTTCACAGGGGGCGACTGTTGGCCAGGCTTTTTAAAGATGTTGAGATGGTAAATGAGATTATAAGAAAGGATGTAGGCGTTGTGGCGTCTTGGTAGAGAAGAAGAAATTTGTCAGTAATGACGCAGTATTCAAGGCAAAACGATGTGAAGTGACATGATTACCAGTGCACATTTCACGATCAAGAAGGGGGAAAAAATGACATGTTGTGTTTCTATCAAAGTGGCGCAATGAAAATGTCCAACTTTACATATTGTCCCATATTTACATCTAAAGAAAAGTCTACAGGCACTGTATAGTTACCGCTAGATACAAAGATGATTCTGACTAAAAGTCATTCAAAACAATACAACCCTCTTAGGTTGATACCCATTAGTTATTTGTTAGGTTACACTGAAAAGCCATGAGGAGGTAAAACAAATTAAAAGTCCTTTTTTCATGCATTCAGGCGTATACGTAATATGGGGCTAGACCTATATTTTTATCCACCAATCGGCACCCAATGGTTGATGTGGTCAGCATCACCACGGCCGCCTTTACTTCCTGGGACTGCATCTGGTACCCACTCAAGGCTAGGTCGACCTGGCAAGCTCTGAGTACAAAATTAATAATTCGAATAACTACACAACGGGAGCATGTACAGCAGGAGTCTGCCGATCAACAGTATATGGGACCCCTTTCACCAACAGTTTCGGTCCGTTATCCTGCTAAACAATTTCACAAAAGGGGGTTACGAGGAGTGGGGCGGGAAAACTTAGTCCTGACGCCACGCCTCTCATTTAAGCTGCAGCACTTATCGTGTATTTTGACAAGACGTAATGGTGGTTTTTCATAACGTACTGAGGTTATGTTGATATACACTGTCAATGCGGTGGCAAATTGAGCGCCTACCTGCACGACCAGAGTGACAAGTTGACGGTTGATTATTGGGCAGACTTTTATCGGACTGTCTTTTCATTTGGCAGTAGCCGGACAGAAGTTGATGGGACAACTGGCTTCAGGGATTTAAAAGTTTTTTTTTTTTTTTTCTATTTGGAGCTCGGATTGCTGCAGGGTATTTCTCTAAGCCAGATTGGTCAACCGAAAGTTACCATTCCCTCGCATAGTCGAACATTAATGAAGCGTATACGAATTTGTTTCATGTTCCTTAAGAAATCTGCCTTGCTTGAGGAAGCACATGGGAGGGAAGTCAGGACTGGCCCTCGCGTCGGCTTTGTCCACAATGTCAGCCAACACTTTCAGGATCTTTTTGTGCCTACAGGTGTATATTCCCTGACCTTGAATTTTTCTGCACGCAGACAATACGTGCTTGA